AGCGAGTCCACTTAATCCTGTACGCCCCCCACACACACACACACACTCCCGGGAGTTTGTAGCAACTAGTCCCGCCCACGTAGTCCTATCTAGGCTAAGAAAGGAGGTGGGACAAACAACGAAGAACGGGGGAGAGAGGAGTTTACTATTCGTGCAGACCCTCTGATTGGCATTAATGGTAACCAGTGAACGCGCAGATTAGGAAAACCGCCAGGATTCCCCCCCCCCTTTAAATCCGACGGTCCTTTTATTAGCCCCAAGCCAGCCTTTCTAGTCCATTTGGCACCAGGTCGGAATCTGTTTTATGATCCTCACCCGTCTTACAAAGGGATGTTTAATTATTTATTTAATTTATATACCCTCTCACTCACTCACACACAAAAAGTTCCAGAAATGGTACTAATGCAATTTACAGAAATTGCATGGAGTTCTAACCCATCCTGAATGGTCGGGGCTTTCTTTTTATTACTCTGTAGTCCTACGTATAGAGATCAAAACTCTTTATTTATCATGGAGTATGGGCTTCCCCCCCACACACACACACACTAGCAAAGCAAAGATCTATCTACGGAGGGACTTGGTCTCTATAAAATTCACGGTAGGTGTGTTTTAACCATGCTTATTATCGCTATACAGTTCTCAAAGCAGGGCTGATACAGCTAATGTTTAAAAACACATCCGACTGTAAGACATTCATAGCGCAACATCGGACATTTCACCGTAACAGATTTTTAGGATCGATGCTAGAATAAGAAAATACGAAATGTATTAGGATTTACTACTAGAGAGAACATCAAAACGCGCTGACCCTTTTTGCCCACTTTATGTGCCTGTTTAAATTCCATTCAGTTCAATTAAGTTTAAGTCTGAGGAACGGGGGGCGGGGGAGAAGTGTTACAGTACAAATCTATAGCCTTCAAGTAACCTCGCTTTCCCAAATACAACCTTAGAATAAACTAGAAAATGCCCCGCCAAGTTGCAGTCCTCTCTTTTCAAAGCTACACAATCTAAAGCAAACGTCTGTGGATGCAAACGCCACGTTTGGCTTCCAATTTTTTTAACCCTGCCGTCTTCCTGTTAAGGCACATCTGTCGCCCTTTGAACCATTCAGATCTCAAATCAGCTTTAAAGGCCGAGCAGTTTTCTCTCGGGCTTTGCTTCTTGTCTGGCCAGAGAGGATGCTTTAATTATTTCTGCAGAACGTAGCACGGTCAGCACCCCTTGCGCGGAGTAGCTGATGGAGTAGGATATTGATTAGAGAAAGGAGGAACCCTATAGGCGCTTATAGTGCACTGTGAACGCTGAAAATGAATAAACAATATGGCCTGAATTCTCCTCCTCCCCCCCCCTTCCCCCTGTTTTTGTCCTTTGCAGCTTGCCCTGCAATAAAGGCCTTTTTGTTAGGAGTTGCGAAGAAATTAGGACAGACTGCATGTGAGTAAGATTTTGGAGAGCAGGAGGAGAACCAACTGATCTTTTATAGTTTCTGTTAAATATAACTCGCACTTGTAACAGTAAGAGGAGGAATTAGTACTTTGTGATTAAACTCATTTTTAAAACTAACCAGCCTTTTAGACCACTTTGCATTGGCCAGCAATTATCAGTACAGTCGTTAGTTTAAAAAAAAACAACTCATAAGCAGAGGTTTGAGATTTGTTGGTGCAAATTAAAGAATGGCAGGTAGTAGAGTGGTTCCTCCATATTGTATTAATCTGCCCCTGCTCTGCCTAAAAGTCATCAGCTTGATAGATTTGTTGGCATTGCTATGTATGCACAAAGGCATTACCTAACTAAAATCTTTATATTTTTAGAGCTGCGCCTGTAAGGGAACCTATGGATCATTGAGTTCCAGCTCCTGTCAAGGAGGTACAGTTGAGAATCAAACTTCCAACCTCCATAGATCTCAGAAATAATAAAGAACTGGAAATATGAAAATTTCCATGGATTCTACTTAATTCCCCATCTTAAATAACTGTTTTGCTTATACATTTAACTCAGTTCCCCCATTTGCACCCACTGATAATTAGCCTTTATTATTGCCTAATCATAGATTATAGATATTGGCAGGACTCCTCTATAAAGCATGCCAGATGTCTATGCTGCATCACAGTTAGAATCCTTCAGTTTCACCTGAATAGGGCTTATAGGAAATCTTTCTCCAGCTACATGCGAAGTGATTCATCAGCTATCCACTAGCTTTCTGTCAACTCTCCTTTTGTTTTATTACACAACAATGTATATTGTAATCAATATTTCAGAAAATTTGCCTGGGTGATGTAGCAGAATGCAAAATCATCTTACTAACATTATTAGATGAGATTACTATTATTATAACAGTAATAATTAATTGGAGGAATGCAATTGTGAAATTAGTAATCCAAATTCTAAATACAGGTTTCCATTTTCATGTAAATGGAAGTAGACACAATGATTAGTACTCATATGCAGTAAATGAGTGGGGTTAGGGGAGAATATGAAAAGTTGAAGGGGGAAAAGACAGCCAGAACACTGAGCACAAGGGGCTAATGGGTTTCTAATCCAGGTCAAGCCAGTTATATTTATTCATAATCACATGCCTGTGATATAAATACCATCATGTTTGTTGCTATTAAGAATCTAGAAAACTATTTACTAAGCTCCTAATCATCTGTGTCATTGATGAGTTTGAGAAGAGTTTTCAGCTGAATCCACATATAAAATAATTTGCCTTTTCTCCCAGACTATTAACACAATAGGGGTTCTGTGTTTGAATAGAATGACTGAATTTTCAGGGATACAGGGAGAATGCCAGGATAAGATCCATAATATCAGACACATTAGTAGTAATTGCTGAGCTCAGTCACAAAATAGTGCCATAGCAGAACAAATTTCTACCCCGTACATGTTTACCCACATTCTGATAGCTGCTAGACTTCACATTTCTGAAAAAGAAAAAATAATTTATATTTTTTTATTTGGTGGGTTATAAAAAAATAAATAGAAGGTTATAAAGAGGAATCAATAGAATCTGACAGCAATCACAGGGTGAACACATCAGACATGACAGTGATTAAAATGTTCACTGTGTTTAGCACACAATTCAACTATAGATAACTTATCCCTTGGCACAGAGCAAGAGAGTCTCCCAAACATATTGTTGTTGTCATGTCTGAGGAAACAGAGAAAGAAAATCTGTTTTTAACTAGAGTATGCATTTTCTTGACATTGCATTCATTTCAATTTTCAAGAGCATCAGAAAAGTAACTGGCCCATGGTAATTTATAACAAAAAATGAAATATAACATTTATTCTGAAATCCTTACCTGTATTAAGCTGTTCCCCGCTAAAAAAAAGAGATAATAGACACAAAAAGTGTGCAAAGACACAAAAAAGTATTTAAGCTGTTGAGAATGCTCAAAGAATAGAATAGAATAGAATAGAACAGAATAGAATAGAATAGGTCCCCTCCCTCCTTGCAGCCCTTGTCCTTCCATCGTCTTATGGTGGAGTCTGGCCTACCCTGAGCCTGCTGCTTCTGTGTCCTCCCCTACTAGGGAGCCTTTCTTGTGGCCGGGCCAGAAGCAGAGCAAAGACAATGAGGACAGAATATGTGTGTGCTATGCATAACAGAGGGGAAGGAGAGACTTGAGTGATGGGGAGGGAGGATCTGTGAACCACCTGAAGTCCCTTCAGTAGGAGAAAGGTAGCATAGAAATACAGTACATAAATACGAATAAATTTGGTGGGATGGTGGGCATCTTATTTTATTTCTCTGTGTCTGTAGACTGGGGTTTATATTTAGCCAGTTGACACAACAATGAGTCTGTTATTTCCCCCTTTCTGGCTCCACAATGACTACCCTGTGAGGTTGGTCAGGCTGAGATATGTATTTAAGGCTGGTTGTGTGATACCCAGTGTGGTGTAGTAGACAGGCTAATGGAGATCTTGATTAAATTCCCTGGCTCTGGTATTGAAGCAAATGGGTGTGGAACTGGTAAAATCACTCCTTAAGTATCTCACTTTCCTTGAAAGCCCTACTAGGGTGACAACAAGTCAGTTCTGACATGATGGCACACAAGAACAACAATCGGACTGCACAGCTCTGCCTGCATAATGAAAGTAGTGTCACCATCCACAGCAGATTGCTGCTTATCAGAGTTTGGTTTTTTATATAAGGTTGTGGTTGACTTGTATCATTGCACACATTGTAGACACCCCAGAATGAAATTATGCAACCTGCTGTAGCCATTGACATGTCTTCTATTGCATAGTTGCAGCTATGC